CTAAAAAATCGTTTAAAACGTACATACGTTACTATATGGTGTAAGGTAAGAGTAAGCCAAATTTGGGCATGTGACATCATTATCAGCGCTCCAACGGGCCGCAAATAGGTGAGAAGGATAGTGACCATATTGTGGATTCGAGCGGTGTGAGGCCTCGTGTTAGGAATGTATTACGCTCACAATATCTCCGGCGTAGGAGTATATCGTAGATACAAGCGTTGGTCTTAATTTAGGAGAACAAAGAACTGCGTTAACGGCAAATAACCCAATGAACTTAGTCGAGAACCGCATATCAAAGTAGAAATAATAAATTGCCGTGAAATAGCACTATTTCCCGAGGCCGTTTTCGCCGATATGTACACTCTAGCTATTTATAGCTCTTGATAGTAATATATATATATGTAGATGTACACGTACATGTACGTGTTATTATTTTTAGTCACTAGCGTGAGTTTGCATCATTACTAGTAACTGTCCAGTCCTGGCACAAAAGATTGTCAGGCGTCAGCCTCATGTGCCTGATGTGGCCTCGCTTGGAATAAAACACAATAAGTCAACTAAATGCTTATATTAATACTATTAGACTATAAAGATAAAAATTTTAAATCTATTAACTCGAATATATGATTTTGCATCTTGAAGTATAATTTATCATGACAGTAATACACACACATATATATATATATATATTTACAATCGAACTTGTGTTAGTGATTCACCTCGCCACAACCAACACTGTGTCTATGGTGCTATAAGCACTGCTTTTTCACAGGGACCCTTGTATTCAGGTTGAAGTTATATGTATTATGTAGGTATACACACACGCCCACGAAAGCCACACGCATGGGTTGGCGTAGTTAGCTGGTGACAATTGCTCGGTGAAGGTCGAAGCTGTAGGAACATTAGCTATGAATGCCATTAGTAGTCAGGAGTTAGTATGAACTTTGATGTTTTCAGGTAGGCAGTAGGTAGGCAGGCAGGCAGGTAGTAGGCATCGGTAGGCAGGGCAGGGATTAAAATAGGTAGGAAGGCAGGCACAGGAAGGCAGGGCAGGAGTAGGTAGTAGTCTAGCAGCAGGCCAGCAGAGAAGTAGTAGGTAAGGATAGGCAGGGGCAGAGGTAGGTAGTAAGCAGGCAGGTTTGACAGGTAGCCAGGTGGACAGAGAAGCAGGCAGGTAGGTTGGCAGTTAGTTGGCAGGGGGGGAGTGTAAGGCCAAGGTAGGCAATGGTAGTAGAATATAATCTCTACTGCAGGCTCTACCGGGCGAGTCGTTGAAACACATCTAGGCAATGTACAAGCTGATTAGGTAGATTTAGAGCCGCTACGCCCCTAACATCGAATCTCCTGCTCGCCTCAACATGCCGAGAAGCCGTTTGACGGAGTTGCTACGTTATTGGATGCACGGAATCTGATGATTGGTAGATCTGCTGGTACGCACATGGAAGAGTGGTGGCCTTGTCTTATGCTAATATTTTCTGGTGCAGAATGACATGAGTTATGTCTTTCTAACTAGGTATACCACTAGTATCTGGAGGGAAGTATTTGCGTGCACAATTATGGCCAGTTGATTTTGCTCATATGTTTGTATACACGATCATTATGTATCCACTATGCACGCGAGTGCGGCCCTATATATATTAGATAATTTTTTGTTTTTTTGTTCGTCATTACAATGTATTATTAAACGTATTTAATCGACAAGTTAGTTTATTATTGTTTTTGTTTGTGATATTTGCACGGTCACCTTGATATGGTCTTTAACGATACATAACTGTCACTTGCTTGAGTCCAAAGTGAAACATATAAGCAATAAAAATAAATACAATATGTATATATATATAAATATATATAATAAACGTATGTATACCCCCCCCAAACACGCACACTGACACGCACACACACGCACGCCACGCACGCACGCACGCACACAATGAACAAGAGAATGATACGGCATGAGACTGATTCATATTTACAAATTAGTAAGGTGTTACGTGTATTTTACATCAACTATAATCACACGAAGAAGGAAGGTACCATATATATATTATATAATAGTAGGGCTACTATATATAAGAACAACGGCAAAAGAGCGTTAATAAAATAACGAGTTATATCGACGAACTGATGACAAAAAAAACTGATTTTCTTAACAACATAACCGTTAAATAAGTATCATAGGATGAATATAAATAAACGACGCTCGCCTTCTAGCACTGTATATGCTTGTAGGGCAACAATAATTAAACGTGGGTGGAGAGCTTTATTGAGGCTCGATTTCTATACAAGCGCCCTACCCGAACCTGATAAGCTAAGTAATACCTGCTTAAAGACTGATGAAAGCAGAACGTATTCCAAATGATCTGTCGTGGCGCCACCAAGAGACTATCGTGAGCGTCATAGACTATTGCTGAGCGTCACCAAACACACATGATATGTAATGTATTAGTTATCAGACCGGCACTATTACGCACAACGACGACATGCGCAATCGCTGGCTCTTAATCCGAACGACGTGGGTATGACGTTCAGTGGGCAGATTGTCCAACGTAGACGAAATGACCGCCGGTATGACACCCGCTAATGAACTCCATCGTCGGCAAAAAAAAAAACTCGATTAAATTTGCGCGCGGAGCTCTCGGCTCGGCGACCGGAAAAAACTTTTCACGGATGTGTATATAACAAACAATAAAAAAACGCATCTTGGTATAAGTAAGTCAAGATACCCCATATATGCTACTAGTATATATAGGGTCTGGTATAGGTAACGCGGTAAGGCGCAATTCCACTGTTCGCTATGTGTGCGCCTCGCCCCCCTCGAAACGGGCAGAGAAGAAGGATCAGAGAAGAAGCCCACGAAACGGGCAGATCGAGAGAAGAAGGACCAGAGAGGAAGCCCACGAAAGGGCAGGATCGAAGAAGACAGGACGCTTGCCGAAGGAAGCCCACAGAACGGGCAGATCGAGAAAGAGAGGAACAGAGAACGAAGCTCAACGAAACGGGCCAGATTCGAGAAAGAACGAACGAAGAGAAGAAGCCCACGAAACGGGCAGATTGAGAGAAGAAAGGATCACGAAAAGTCAAATTTGTAGGCGGATGAAGAAGGAATAAGTGGACGAGAAGGGATTCATATAAACTCGCGATATCGATTCGCGGCGTGGCACAGCAGCGAACGCGTCAGCGCGATTCGAGCTGGTACTGTATACGCTGGTTTCTTTCCTTTTCTCTGCAATCGCAGCTCTCGCTCTCAATCTCATTCATTCTGTTCATTCTGTGTTGTGTGTGGTGTGTGTGTGTGGGTGTGTGTGTGTGTGTGTGGTGGTGTAGTGTGTCTCTCTCTCTCTCTCTCAGTTTCTGCTCTCATCTCTCTTTCTTCTCCCTCTCTCTCCGTCTCCTCGCTTCTCTTCTCTTCTCTCTCCGCATTCTCTCTCATACATTCTCTCTATCTCTTTTCTCTTCATTGCATTCTGCTTTGCATTCTCAGTGCTACTGTCTCTCATTGTTCTCTTTCCCCCCTTCTTTCTCGTCCGCTCTCCTTCTCGTCGTCCCTTCTCACCCTCTCTCCTCTTCTCTCCCTTCCACGTCTCGCCCCGCTCCCTCTTTCCCGCTCTCTCTAATTTAGAAAACATTGCCGGCTCCATCATGACGGGGCATTAGCCGTGCTAGGAAAGATAATGGGAGATAAGGGCATAGGCGATGCCTCCGAAAGTCACCGATGATAACCGAAATGCCGTTCATTCATAAAGTGCATGAACTCTCACGAAGCGAATTTCCTAACCCGCAAAAGGCGAGAAGGATAGTCAATATTGTGGATGCGAGGCGCCGTGAGGCCTGTGGGAGGAGAAGTTTACAAGCCAATATCTCAACCTAAGAGTATTGTATTGACAAGCGGTTGGTCTTGTTTTAGAGAGCAAAGAATTCTGCTTAATGCAATACCATAAAATTATTCTAGACTAGCAGGCAAAGTAGAATAATATTGCCGTGAAATAGAACTATTTCCCCCATTTTTCCGTTGTACACTCTTATTAGCTCTTGATATGTATGTATATACGTATATATATATATACTTCTATATTACAGCTTTTTACAAATTCATTTACGCAGACATATTGCTGAACTATAACTGCAAGATACCCGAGTTCGGTACACAGCGTGGGACTGAAAGCAAACTGATCAATCAATCAACTTCTACGCTATTTCAGTCTTCTCATTTCAATATCTAACTAACTCTCACGGTGGCCCCGCGTGGCTTGGTGCCGAGTGACGACGGTGGCGCCACCTGCAGGCACACAAATTGAGCAATCGGCGCGCGAGCGTGTGCGAGACGATGATCCTACATTTGATTCTTTACCTGTACGAATTGCTACGCTTCTGATTCGACGGTTTGGCACGGGCCATCTCTGCTCCATCGGCGAAAGACGGAGAAAAATTACGATGCAGATTTAATTTTGGGGGGGTTTTGGGGATTTTGGGGGGGTTGGGGTTTTTTGGGGGGTTTTGGGGTTTTGGGGGGGTTTGGGGTTTTTTGGGGGTTGAGGGCTTTGTCACAAGTTTTTCGTCGCGTGAGAAGACTCGAGATTCCCGGGAGAACATCCGTCGATTTCCGTTCCACGGAGATTCCGTTTCACTCCTTTCTGAGATCCGTCGACGAAGGCGTCGCGCCGGCGAGAGTGGGCAAAAATGGCGCTTTTCATACCGGAACTACACCAAGCAGGGGGTGGGGGGTTACAAAGGCTAGAAGACGAGACTGCCATTCTCTTGTTCGGCGAAAGCAGACGGGAACGCCGCTTGTTTTCGATTCTCGCGCACCAACAAACGGCGCCCCGCCGCGAAAACCTACGCGCTACGAGCCGACGGTCCTCTCCAACAGATGGCGCTGTTGCACGCTCGATCGTCTGGCATGTAACCAGGGCTGACGCGCCCTCTCTCTCTCTCCCACACTCACATGCCTGAGATTCGTCTGCTGCTAGGCTTTGACCGAGGATCTCTGCTGGGAGTGTGAGAGGATGGGTCTCTGCCATTCGTGGTTCTTCACTCGCCCGTACTGAAAACACACAGAGATGTCATCAATGGTAACACACACAGATGTCATTAAGTGTACATAATAGAATTTCTATCATGTACTCTTGATGTAACACATCGCGAAATCGTTACTGGTAACACACCGCGGAATTGTTACTGGTAACACACCGAGGAATTGTTTAATACTGAAAATACACAGAGAAATCATCAGTGGAAACACACAGAGAAATCATCAGTGAAAACACAAGTGGAATTGTAAAGCTAAAGTCACACTGGGGCCGGACTGTCCACGGATTACCGCGGATGGGGCAGGATCTCCCCGGACCGTAAAATTTATAATCCGTGGCGATCCGGGTGAAAAAAAGCATCATCGGGCCGGATCGGGCCGGACCAGCATGGCAGCGCCACGGACCATATCAGTTGCAATCAGAACATCTGCACGCTGCAGATCACCGACACCACGGGCAGCCACCAGTTCCCCGCCATGCAGCGTCTCAACATCAGCAAGGGCCATGCGTTCGTCCTCATCTACTCCATCACGAGCAAGCAATCGCTCGAGGAACTGCGCCCGATCCACGACGAAATCGAACAGATTAAGAAGGACGCGCTCGACGTCATACCGGTAATGCTCGTCGGCAACAAATGCGACGAGACGGCCCGCGAGGTGTCGGTGCAGGAGGGGGTGGCGCTCGCGAAGGCCTGGTCGTGCGGATTCGTCGAGACTTCGGCGAAGACGAATCACAACGTGCGGGAGCTGTTCAGCGATCTGCTACACTTGGATAAGCAGCGCAGCATGAGTCTGCAGTTGGAGACGAAGAAGACGCGGCGGCAACGACGCAAGGAGATGCTCGAGAAGAAGTGCGAGATCATGTGAGCAGGTGGCGCCACCGTCGTGTTGGGGGGGGGGTGGCGCCACCGTCGCAGGGGTGGTGACGGCGGCATCGACGCAGACAAAGTACGAGATCGTGTCAGCAGATGGCGCCACCGTCGTGCCTGGGTGGTTAAGCCTTAGTTGCCGTGGCGGCGGAGCCACTGTTGCCGGAGTGGTGGCGACGCTAGCAGACACTCGAAATGTGTGAGGTCATGTTGGCGATGGACGGCAGGTGGCGCCACCGAGTGGCAGCTCGGATGTGTGGGGGACTTGAACCCAGCGATGGTGTTTGGGGGACTTGAACCCAGCGATGGTGTTTTGGGACTTGAACTCACGAAGTAATGGACCATGGAGTAGTGGCCATCCAGACCTCGCATCTTGTTGCTACTTTGATTCCCACAATTCCCGCACGAGGGCACCAGTAGCAGCAGCAGCAGCAGCTGATAACCACGACGGAGCGACACAGCAGCGCCACCTATCGGTGCGTGGGCGAAACCAGCGTCGACGCACCCACGAACAGTGCCGAGAAATGCCTCCAGGTGACGCCTGCCGCAGCCGGCCTCGGGTTCATGCCCGCCAGGTGTCGCCAGTAGCAAACAGCATAGAGTGCATCTCTGCCCGGTGGTGTCTGTGGTGGATGGCCTCGAATCCGTGCCCGCCAGGCGGCGCTGTCAGCAACTTTCCGGTGGAAGGTCATTCTAAGGTCGCGGTGCGCGACAGTTCTCTTGTTTACTTAACGTTCGGTTGTTTTTACGTCTGCGGTAGGCAGTGTGTTCTTATTACGTTTTGTTATATGTATAGTCGCGTTCGCCTCTCCCTCGCCTTCTCTCTCTCTCTCATGAGGGACAGTAAACCGAGGGTGATAAATGCGGGTACTTGCTCCCCGTACACTGAGAACAATATATATGTATACATTGTATATATGTTATACATCATATTATACATTATAAACAATGTATATATTGTTCTCAGCCCCGTACGGACAGATAGATATACGGTGTTATTATATTCCCCATTTGCGTACGGACAGGTATGCGGTGTTACGTAGATAATATCGGCTAAGATAAGATCATATTATGGCACGTACGTTATGTCAGCGCATTTTATTCCCGATTTGCGTGCGCGTATAACGTGTCGAAGCATCGTAAAGGTGAATACATTGTTTAACGATGTATCGGTATCAGTAGCGGTATCGGTATCGGTATTGGTATCGGTATCTGTATCGGTATTGGGTAATCTCAGTCCGATATCGCAGATCGTGATCGTCCGGTGGTGCCGGTCCCGCTGCAACAGCCCCGAGGACATTTTTTTGCGCGGTTTAAGGGCGGCGGAAATTCGATGATCGCATCAGTTAATCAAGAGGTAAGAGGAGCATGCCGGCTCGCGACATTTTGTTTTGCTTCTCGTGAATGTTCGGGCTTAAATCGAGGAGTTCCACTTCTAAGGAACAACGAGTATGTTTTACCAGCACAATCAGCGCACTGAAACTCGATCCATCTCACGCCTCGACTATCTCTTTCGACAAGCAAAAGCAATTGTCCTACATATATTCTGCATATGCCGAACCTACGATCCCGCAACCGAAACTGACCCTAAACACCCGTGCCATTTGAGTCCTACGAGACCTAATATAATCTTAGAACAAACCAGGTCTATACACGTCTTATATAACTTAAGCTTTCACCAACCATGAGATCAATCTCCTACAAAAACACTATCTGTGGTGGGTCCGGAACTCTCGTGGAAAAAAAATCTTCGCGCAATTCCAGGTCCACGCTATTCGGGTCACGTGCGAGCTCCGAGTGTCGAGAGAAGGCGCCCGGTGGTATCTCACTGCGCTCGCTGCATTTTTCCTGTCCCGTGAATCATGTATCTGATTAAGTCAATGAGCGTCGAGCGCCATGTTACGCCAGTCAATGAAGGATGCCATTGTTTCAGTGGTGTGAGGACGTCACTGGGAGGTTTTGGTGGTGGTGTGTGATATATTATACCGATATGCTAGTGGAAGGCTGGTTGCTAGCTAGGGGAGAACGTGTGTGTAGATAGAACCGTGACTGCCTACCAATTATCAAGCCTGTCGTACACAACACTTGAACGCACCCGATCTATTGACATCACCATTCCGCCCGCGCGCACCACACACCACGCCAAGCAACAGCCGCACACACCACACTCGACATCACACACCGCAACAGCAGTTCTGGCACAGGGCGCGCGCAGCAACCGGGGCCCCTGATGTTTACATCGAACACACACATCACACACGCAGCGCACACACGACTCTGCGCGCTGCTCGCGTACACGACCGCCACAATCCGGTTCACACGCAACACACGAAACGACTGCTACGCGCCCGCTACAAGCGCTACGCTTCTTCTATATTTACACACAACACACGCACGGCGGGTCGAAGGCCTAACAAGACGCACACAAGACCACAGCCGTCGCGACGCACACATCGCCCCAAAGGCACCACGCATACGCACAACACACACACACACACACACAGTGACACAACACAGCACATACACACACAACACACGTCCCGGCACACACACACACACATAAAACACATCAACACACATCACACACACACAACACACCACACACTGCCTAGGTCCCAACCGAACTAGCGAAGGAAACAAACCTAGAAAAGCGCAAAAGTTTCTGCAAGCATTATATGAGTTACTCCTATTATCTATCTGAGTCTCCTAGCGTTTTAATCTCTCGTCCAGGCATTCGCATAAGATCGCATGATGCGCTTTCAAAGTGGAGTGTTCGGGAGGATTGCGCGCGTTATGCCGGCGAGTGCCGCGGCATGGTGTAGAGTGGTGCGCTTGTACGTTATTATAATATATATATAATAATAGTATACTATACGACCACAATCATCCCTGACAGTAAGCGCGGGCAGTGTTCGATGGACGCGCGTATTGACGGCGACCGTGACCTGTTTTCATTCCGTGATCAAGGAAAAATTGCATGTGTACCGGAGAGCGAGAGGAAGTTAGAGACGAGAGAGGAGAGTGCGGCAGAGGGGAGAGAGGGAGGAGAGAGTGCGGAGGAGGGTTTCGAAGTGTAGGGCGAGAGAGCGAAATAGAGAAGAGCGGGGAGCAACGTGTGAAAAGGTGATGTAGAGGGCAGGACAGGAGAGGGTGAGAGGGACGTAGACGAAGCAGATCGGCGGCCGCACGAGAAAGAAGGTGAGAGAAGAGAGAAAACTGAGAGAGACGACAGTAGTAGCACCACGAAATGAAGAGAAATGATCGAAGAGCAAGTAGAATAGAAGAGAATGTATGAGAGAGAATGGCGAGACGAGAGAGAGAGAGAGAGAGCAAGAAAGTGAGAGAGAGAGAGAAGAGAGAGAGAGAGAGCACCCACTCATCANATATATATATATATATACGACCACAATCATCTGACAGTAACGCGGGAGTGTTCGAAATCGCCGCGTATGTGATCGGCGACGTGCCTGTTCATTCCGATAAGGAAAAATGCAGTAGAGAGCGAGAGGAAGAGAACGAGAGAGGAGGTGGGAGAGGGGAGAGAGGGAGGAGAGAGGAGGGAGGAGGGGAGAGAGCGAAAGAGAGAGCGGGGAGACGTGGAAGGGAGAGAGGAGGAAGGAGAGGGTTGAGAGGGACGAGAGAAGAGAGCGGACGAGAAAGAAGGGGAAAGAGAAAACAAGAGAGACAAGTAGAGCAAGAGAATGAAAGAGAATGAATGAGAGAGAAAGAGAATAGAAGAGAATGTATGAGAGAGAATGGAGAGAGAGAGAGAACAGAGAGAGAGAGAGAGAGAGAAAGAAGAGAGAGAGAAAGAGGAGAGAGAGAGAGAGACACACACACACACACACACACACAGCACACACGACACACACACACACACACAGAGCAACTTTCCACACGACAGAAATGAAACAGAATGAATGAGAGAGAGCGAGAGCGGTGCAGAGAAAAAGGAAGAAACAGCAGTATACAGTACAGCGATCCGCGCTGACGGTTCGCTGCTTGCACCGCGCGATCGAATCGGCGAAGTTTAAATGAATCCCTTCTCGTCCACTTTTCCTCTTCATCCGCTACAAATGACTTCGTGATCCTTCTTCTCTCAATCTGCCCGTTTCGTGGGCTTCTTCTCTGTTCGTTCTTTTCTCGATCTGCCCGTTTCGTGAGCTTCTTCTCTGTTCCTTCTTCTCTCGATCTGCCCGTTTCGTGGGCTTCCTCTCTGGTCCTTCTTTCTCGGTCGATTCTGCCCGTTTCCGTGGCTTCCTTTTCTCATGGTCCTTCTTCTCTCGATCTGACCCAGTGTATCGTGGCTTCTTCTCTGATCCTTACTTCTCTGCCCGTTTCTGAGGGGGGCGAGGCGCACACATAGCGAACAGTGGAATTGCGCCTTACCGCGTTACCTATACCAGACCCTATATATACTAGTAGCATATATGGGTATCTTGACTTACTTATACACAAGCATGCGTTTTTATTTATTGTTTGTTATATACACATCCGTGAAAAAAGTTTTTTCCGTCGCCGAGCGAGAGCTCCGGCGCAAATTTAATCGATTTTTTTTTTGCGACGATGACGTCACTGCGGGTGTCAACCGCGGTCATTTCGTCTACGGTGTGACAATTGCCACTGACGTCATCCCAGTCGTTCCGGTAGAGCAGCGATTGCGCATGCGTCGTTCGTCGTAATAGTTGCGGTGTAACAATACATATACATATATGTGTGTGTGTGACGTCACAATAGTTATGACGTCACGATAGTTGTGGCGCCACGACAGATCAGTTGGAATACGTTCTGCTTTCATCAGTCTTTAAGCAGGTATTCTAGCTTCATCAGGTTCGGGTAGGGGTTGTATAGAAATCAGAAGCCTCAATAAAGCTCTCCACCCACCGATATAATTATTGTTGCCCTACAACATATACGTGTAGAAGGGGAGGTCGTTTATTTATATTCATCCTATGATACTTATTTACACGCGTATAGTGTAAGAAAATCAGTTTTTTG